CCTGCAGCCTGGATGACTGGGATTGAGACCTGATGCCAGCCTTTCCCGGCCTGCAAAGCACCATCACCATCCTCCTCCTCCTCAGAACTGCCAGTTCTGAAACAACTTTTAAATGTTGAGAGATGCAGTTTGGGTGCTGAAGGCGAGTTGGATGCCTCTCAGCTCTGAAGGCGTTTCACGGAGAGCCATTCTCCACTTTCTGCATGTCCACTGGCCACACGTGAATAGGTAAGAGGATGCTTTGGCACGTGGGGCTGGCAGCCGGGATTTCCCATTTACCTTCGCACACCAGGGATATGTCCCATGCCAGGCTGGTGGCACAATGACTTTGGCAGCAATATGTTGAAGTTAATTATGGCATATTCTCCAAAAGATGTTAATAGAAATGTAACCAAACTGGCGTGGGCCGCTTTTTCTGGAGTGCGTGTCAGGCATGCTGGGGGTTAAGTGTGGTGAAGTCTTGTTTCCCGCCCAGAGCTGGCTTATTTTTGTAATGCAGTAGTTTTCAGTACATTTGTACTGGGAAAAGTGCTTGACTAAGGCTTTTACTGGTAAAAACAAACAAACCAAAAATGCTTTGCTCAGATTTTCACTGGCATCAGTAGATGAAATACTTTCCTCAGTTTTATGCTGCAAGCAAATATATATTGATAAACTAAATTAATTCCTTGATTAATTAAAACACATCATACATTCTACCAGAGAAAAATAGAGCATTCATCCCTAGAAATCTTTATGTGAAAAGATGATGTTTTTAATCCGCGACAGCCAGCGTGTGTGGACACATCCTGGTGGGAGGATGGGGCTGGGCAGAGCTGAGGCAGGAGGGTCAGCCAGAAACGCAGGCGGTCGTCTGTGCAGCGGTCTCCATTTGGGTACGTGATGCCTCATTTAGAAGATATGCGAGAGAACTGGGAGAGAAAGTAGGGGATTCTGTTGTTAGCTGCTGCAAAGTAGGAGGTCTCTCACACTTGCACTAAGGTTTTGGGGACCGAATGCTAGTTGGAGGAAGATGGGGCAGTAAGCGTCCCATCCATCACAACTGGGCTTCAGGTTCTTCTCTATTTGCTGTCCTGTGAATCTTAATGACAGCTGTTGGAGCTGTGCGTCCCTCAGTGCCCTCCCACGGCTGCCAGAAGCACTTGTCCAAGCAGCAGTTGTCTGAAAACCTTTTGTCCCTTTCTTCTAAACCATCTTTGTGTCCTTGGTTTTCAGGTGGCACTGCCCAGCATGAGGGTTGGGACCTGCTGGCCATCCCCTTCGGCAGCTCTCTCCAAAACGCCTTGTCCCCAGGGCTCTCCCGGGTGAGGGGGAAGAGATCCTAGGCTGCAGCTGGAAGCACGAAGAGGAGATGTGGCAGAGGGCTGATGCTGTGAGTATGCCGCTACCAGTGTGTGCACCAGTGAGCGGGACTGGCTGGTGCCAGTCCTTACGCAGTAAACTGCCACGCCGTCACTGTCACCTCCTGGCAGCGGAGGACACCCTGGTAAATTCAGCATTCAGTGGGGCACGACGCAGTGTGGGAAGGTGGTTGGCAGGGGGTCAGCGGTTTGCTGCACAAACTTTACAATGTAATTTAATGAGGTGTAATTTCCACTGATTCCTAGAGTAAAAGCATCCCTGTTTATAGCCCAGTTACTTTATGCTAAAGAATTGCATCAGGTGGATGCAGATCTCTTTACCTCCCTACCAGCTGGTTTACTGTGAAGGAAATCCTCCTGCAAGGAAGCCCTGAGAGAAGTTGTCCATAGTGCTAAAATTTAACGTTACTTTTTCTCAAAACTTGCTCAAATTTTAGTTTCACCTGGCCACATAGCAGAAATCCAGATCGAGTCTTATTAAAACATCCCATAGTTTATAACCGCTCAGAAATCCCACTGCCAGGATGCTCTGTGACAGTTATGCCGAGGAAAAACTCAAGCCCTGAAGCTGGGGCTGAGCAAACTGCTGGATCCGAGGGGAGAAGACATCAGCTGAGCTCTAGGGACAGACAGCGCTCGGCCGAATGCTCCCGTCCAGGCAGGCAAAACTCCCACATAGATCAACAAATCTTAATGACCACACATAATCTACCTGCAACATATACGCTACAGGAGAGGAGCCGCCCTTTATAGGATTACCCCAGTGTTATACTCGTAGACCTGGGATTTACGGCGCTGACGGGTGGTTTATATCTATTTCAATTTACAGAATGTAAATGCATCCTGAAAATAAGTAGGATCAACCCAACCCCTGCAATTATGCCGTAGCATACCTTAAATGCTATATAATCACATATTCTTTTGATTCATATTCATGCATCACCTAAAAATGTATTTACTAGCACGCTCTTCTAAGAAATGCAGAAACAGTTCGGAGGGATGGGGAAGATGCGGCGCTGCCTCCTCTCCACCCCGAGGAGGTTCGCCCTGCCCACATCTGTCCCCACCAGCTGTTTCTGGGGGGCAGGGAGGTGAGGAAATCTTGCCCCAGTTCCACTTCTGCGCAAAGATACTGCCCCTTCCTAGCAGGCTTACAGGATCCAGAGAAAAGAAAGAAAGTAGAAGTTTTGGATTTGAAAAAACGAAGCTGCTTTTGAGTTATGATGCAAAACCTGCTTTTCTTTCTTTGCCTTCCTAATATAATTTCCAAGTCGATTTTGAGAGTTTCATGAGGGGAAAAAAAAAAAATGTTCGATGTTGCAAGACTCAAATTTTCTGTCATATTCAAAATTCCAGAATTTTATGGCCGACTCCCAAGCCTGCCGGTGCCGGGGGACGATTACCAGGGGAGCTCAAGACCGTAACGACCGCAGCCGCGGTGTAAATGTCACCGCTGCCCGCTGTGGGGAAACAACTCAGGCTTTTGAGCAGAGCCGGCTGCCCTCCCCAGGAGAAGAGGAGAAGTGCAGCCGCTCAAACGGCGCGGTGCCGGGGGCTGCGGCCGCCGTTTCGCCCCCTCGGGACGCTCAGAGGAGCGAGGCCGGGCACGGGGGGGGCGGGGCGGGGCGGCGGCGGGGCCCCGGGGGGGGGGGGGGGGCCCCGGGGGCCCCTTGGAACCGGGGGGGGGGGGGGGACATTTCGTAGCCCCCTGTGCCCCATTCTGTCCCATGGCTGTGTGGTTTTGGAAAAGGGAAGGTCAGGTTTCTTTTCCCTAATAAATGATTTACTTTAAACAAAGATTTTTAATTCTAGATGCTTTCCCCACTTTGATGCGAGGGCAACATCCCTTTACATCTCTTTGAGGGTGCTAAATCCCAAGAACAGCCACATTGCTACTAACCTTGGCAAAAGCATCTGGGCCTTCGGCACTCGATCGGACGGTGCGTGCCCAGTGTCACATCTGGGGGTTCAGGTCCTGCTGGCTGCGGGGACCGAGGAGGTGCTGCCATGGGGGAACCTCCAACGCCCTTTGACAAGGAGCAAGCAGCCTTGCCAGCACCAAGCTTGGAGTAGCCCAAGGGCTGGGGTGTGCAGCACTCAGCCCTTTGCACCCACCCAGCTGGGCTGGTATCAAATAAGGATGGCATCATCAGGGCATGGTGGCTGGTCCGGCCACAGAGCCCCAGCCGGGCTTGGCT